GATCCCCTGCAATGCCAACGTGCGTTAAAATGAGTTCATGAAGAATAAACACAGAATATACCGAAAAAAACAATCACATTTAGCAAATAATCAACAATTTGTACCTATTAAAGTTCTATGGAAAAAAAGTACTTAGTAGTATACTAAACTTCCGAAAGAAATACTAACTTACCTACGTATGTCCTGTGTTATCACTTATGATACTTTTTGAAAGGTATAATAATGTAATGTATTTATTTCTCTCCACAAACATAACAACTGAACATGAACAAAAGTAAGATAGACAAAAATAGTGTCTATATTATGTTTGCAAAAGACTAGTACATATGTATATATATATATATATGTATGTGTGTATATGTATATATATATGAATATATATATTATATATATATATATATTCTTATAGTAGTTTACTAAGATAAAAATGGCTTCCAACAGTTTTCCGTAAAATGTAAATTAAGCTGGTAGAATATTTACATAAAAGTTTTCGGTGACTTAGTGAATAACGCAGTAATATTCATAATTTGTGTAAGCTAATTCTTAATTTACTTTTCGGAGCTTTTATTACTACCCTTTGATAAACAACTTAATTACTAGCTAGCCATAATTTCTTGAGGGTGTACAGCCACTGAATGATTAATCCTGGTATAGGCACCCGCTGCGTACGCTGCTAAGTGGTAGTTTGTTGCACCATTTTTTCTGGGATCCTTGTACGCGTAGCGACGATGGGCAACGGTGATCTAAGCTTGTGTGGTGGTATTTGACCATGTTTCATAATCCTCACAATAATAGAGTAATCTGAAACATTGTCATCGTCGTACGACTTAGCGAGCGAATTAGTGATCGAACGCTTGCGAGGATGAGGGGGTGTTGATATTGAAGGAGTTCAGATTAACTTGATTTTATAAAATGACCCATTGTGCACGAAATATTAGTTTTGAAGACATTTTTCTTACGAACTAAAAAATCTGCGAGGTCGCAATAATACACTGAATCGTTAACCAAAACCTTCTACGGGAAAATCCCATATACGAACAAAGCCAAATCTAAATCAGATTTGTATGGGTTGATCCCAATACTCCCTTTGATAGCCCCTTTGAACTAGTGAAGCTTCACAGAACTGTTGGTGCTACCAACGTAATACAGTCAACGTCAAAATCATCCGCGTGTTCAGTATATTGATTAAAACCACCACTTCGTCAGGGAACAATTTAAGGCGCGTATTCAATTTATGTATTATTTGGACTCGCATATTATTTTGACGCGAACTTCAAAGGGACTGTTAAATTAAGAACAAACCCATGAGTAGTTTTTTTTAAATTACTTGTATCATTCTGATATGTACCTCGCGTCACGTTGGAAACTCTAATGTATTATCTTCCATACAAACGGAAAGAGCATTACCAGGATCCGCTCGCTCACCTAGCGTACTTTACGGCCGAACTCTGTTTCAAAAATCGAAATGGTGTAGCGCATAACACGAAGTATCGTCTGAAGAATGTGTGTTCGTGCTCCTTAAAATTTTATATTACAAGGGAAGCATCTTAGAACCGAGTGAGGGTTTATGACGTCATTACATTTAAACAGTACCTTTGATGATGGTTCCACGAGTTATTCTTGAACCAAAATGGTTTAACGTAGGTTTACGTAACAGAATATGTGTGCAATGAAAATGTATAATGTTACTGGCGGTTTGGATCCCTCGTTTTACTGTAACACTAGACTGTTGGCATAATTTTGTAACACGGCGTCTTCAGCATTTTTGTATTAAAAAAATTGTATCTGTTCGTTATGCCCCCGATTTGGGTTAGGTACGATAAATTTTATTCAAAGCTGTTTTTTTACAAAATGTACAAAAATTCTTTTAGAGTAACAAAAAATAATTAATAAGTATGTAATATTAGCCTCTGTGAAAATTGTTGGAATTGACATGAACTTAACATAAAAACCTTTTTTGGTACTTACACTTGTTCAAATAAGTGTAAGTCGCAATTATTTAAATCCTTTATTTATAAAGTAAACACAAGACAATATCAAAATAATTGTTTAAATTCAAAATAAGTTTTCATTCATAATCAACTAATGTAGGGTAAGGTCGCGTTAGTCGTACCCATTAGAAAAAAACCGCTGTAATATTTAAAGACATTTAAATTAAACAAAACCTTTAGGATCTACGGGATCTTTATTTGTTTTAGTATTTAATTAGGTAATGACAAGTTTTTCAAAATCGCACCTTTAGTACGATTTAGGCGCCTGGTCGCCTAATTCGTACCACCTACAGCCTGAGTGGTACTTAAATAATACGTCAGTCAGGACATCATAAATTGTATAGCACAGTATTAATAAAAAGAGATCAAAACAACAATTAGAATCTAGAAACAGGTACAGGTGCTTAAAATCAAATCATTCTTAATATTTTTGAAGCGCGAGAACAGTCTCAGAATATTATGAGCAAAGAATTCTAATGAAATAAAATCATAAATTCTGATGAAATAAAATTATAAGTTAATTCTTTTGAAATAAAATTATAAATTTTAAGTAAATAACAGTAAAATTCTTCTGAAATGAACTTACAAATTCTAATGAAATAAAATTATACATTTTTCGGTAACTAAATAAAGGTATTTATATAATAAAGACATCACAAATTAGTTTCGCTGAACACAAATATCACACATTATTTAGCTGAAAAGAAAACTAACAAACATTTTAGTTGTTAAACGTACTTTGTGAAATATACTTGACATCTGACAAAAAAATGTTGATCCAAAATTTGTTATAATCGGGCCATCCGTCACGGGGGCATAGCGAACCGGGGGCATAACGAACGAACCCAAAAATTTTGAGTATGTCATTTAATTGAAATGAAACTTTAAATTAAATACTACAACGGCGTGTTTTTGACACGGTTACGCTGACTTTTATAAAAACAAATATACGTGATTTTAGATCCGCAAACAGTTTCATTTCAATGTGTAGCGATCGCGAAATCGTATTATCGTTTAATATTTTTTAAGCGTTGTGAGAGAACGGTTGCTATTCAATCGAGAGGCCGTCGATTTGAATCCTAATGCGGTATGAGTTTAATTTCTATATTAGTGAATATTGTAGTAATACCTCTACCGGCAGTTTCCCACGGCCCGTGATATCTCGCGTAACAGGCCCATATATGCATTGCGGCCCGCGCCGATACGCGGCACTCATCTCACGGCGCGTTGGCGCAAGACCCGCCTTTGCTCTGGCAAATTCCACTATGTCCACAATCCGTACAGGGAATCCGCTTACTGAAATACGGTCTTCGCGGCTGAAATATCAGCTTTCGTCGCGACGAAAGTGTCTTTGCTATTATTAGAAAAATGCAACAACTTTTGGCAGGTAAAAATCACGCAATAGGACAAAAAATTGTGACCTTCTGTCCAGATGGTCCTGGAAAGTCGCACTTACGTCAGGAGTGTTTCAATATTCGATATTTTATATAAATGCTTCTATGTTTTCCCCTATAGCATTTCAAATATTGACGAAAGGTAAGATGATACTTTATATATACAACTCTAAGGACCGCGCGGGTCACTTTGTAAGTTTAAATCTAGGAAAACGTGACCGCCGGCGTAAAAACTTAAGTCAAACTCACGGAAGAAAAAAGCAATTGAAGTGCCTTAAGCCTCGATTACTACCAGAACCGCTGTCGCCAAAATTCACACATTCACGATATGAAACACTATGAAAGGATAATGATTGATCTAGTTAAAAAAAACAAATTCTGGACTGTTAATAGAATGTAAACTTGACTTTGCAGGCATATCGTTCAAGGTTCAGTACCTATTTGCAAGTTACGACGTTTTTATTGATTTTGTATTGAAATGTCAATCAATATGCTGTCATCTAGCGGTCAATAGCGGAATGACGACGAATTCGAGATGTTTATTTAGTTTTCCAAAAAAACGATCATGCAATATGATACAGACATAAAATTTACAATACTTTCTGTAACTAAAAAATTATTACGATAAAATATTACGAGGGAATTTATAAAATAAGACATAACGATGATATAAAACACCACCACGGATAATATCCACAAGTGCAACTATCATTTTTGAACTCGAAAGTAGCAAAATAATACATTTTTCTACGATTTTGGAGGATTTGCGCGAGATTATTGACCGACAATAACGTACAAAGCGAAAATGGCCGAGTAAGCTTAAGTATGTGGAACTGCGTACTGTTGGCACACGTGACACGTTCACTACGCACTTCTACTGTATTTATTGTTCTGTGGACGTGGCCTATATGGAAAATTCACTGGTCGTCACCCTTGTCCGACATGGCAGTTAACGTGTTAAAAGTTAATTGCCTTAGGGTGCGTTCAAGTTAGACCTTTAGTGAAGCGATGCATTGGCGCATCTGTGGTGCCACAACAAATTTTAATATAATTTCTAGAGACGTAGCAACCACGATAGACGAAGATCAAATCGGAGATTTTATCGATAACACTGAACTGTACTCTGCAGCATGAGACAGCAGTTCTGCCAGTTATGTTAAACGTTGAGATAAGAAAATGGCGTGTGAAGATTTCTATACGAATTTTACAATTTTTGTTTTCATTGCTTAACCTTCTATCATTTTAATGGTTTGATAAAATAAAGGTAACGAACGGACTGTAACGCGTTCTTACATCTTTTTAACAAATTGAACCTATACTTCGTCCGTTTTAACGAAAGAAGGAAAAGTTATGCTTCTACGTCAAACTCCATTAAGTCGAAAGATGAATAAAACATAGTCGTGCATCATCTAGTTTCTCATTTAAATAGCATGGTTATCATTTATCATGTTGCACTTAATGTGTTGTGGAAAATTTCTCGTAGATTCTGTTAGCTACAGATGGCTCTATCTGAGACGTTCCAACCTCGATGACCTTTTATTAGCAATACTCCTAGATGTAATTATGTAGGTAGGAATAAATTTATGTTAAAATAACACAACTGGTCATGTTTGTCTCTACCTGTTTAATACTATTGGCTTAAGCCAAAAAATAACTAGATGTTCTTACAGTCAACATCATAGCTTTTACCGCTTGTCTATTAACACACTTTTGTATTTGAAAACAATTTTGCTGCATTCGCAAGGTGCAAAAGTAAGTGATGTATCACAATCTCATTTGGAATACTGCGATCTCAAATGCCCAACAGTGGTACGTAAATGGGTTGATATAGATCTAAAGTGTCATAATTACTAAGTACTCACTTGCTATAAGAGCCGTACAAATAATCTTGTGAGACCTATGAAGTCTCCAACCCGCATTGGAGCAGCGGTATTTAACCCCTAAACAATATCAAATAAAAATGCTAGGTAATTTATTTTTCAAGTATACCACAATCATTGGAGCTTTAAGTTAACATATCATACACAATTTAAAGACAGCAGCAACACTTTATTCGAAATAGAAAAAGATTTAAAAAGTGAACTCCACAGAAGACCCTTATATAAATTACATCGTCATACATTTCATGTTGTTTGAGCTGGGAGAAGAAACAATTGTTACCAAATGTGAAACTCCCTTAAAATAAGATTCTTTAACATTGAAATATAAAATTATAACAACTTTTTCAATAACAAGCAAGCTTGTGCATTCGAAACGATATACCCAAATATCTATACATACATACACTCATATAACCAAAAGCTGATAACGTCGCTCAGTCCAAATCAGTCGAAAGCGTCAAAGCTCGTTGTAGTTTTCACCTGACTACGCGTAGTCAACGCGAGGGCTAATCTTTTACATAAAGGTTTGAATAATTGCATAAATAGTAGTAATGCCACCAGCGAACAAGCCGATAACACCGATGATCATGATCACAATATCTTTAACCAGCTTGAGCCGCATTGGTCCGAAATTTTTGGGCAAACTGGCGCAGATCTCCATGAACGCAGGGAAGATCAGTCCCAGCGCTGAGAGACATACAGCTCCGAATAGCGATATGAACAGGCCCAATGCTGGTACTGATATCGCTAGAGAAACTGCGAACAAGAAACCGATATTTAGCTGCGAAATTTAGCTGTGTGTATATTCTGAGCACCGTTCAAACATTAAGCTGCTGTTTGTTTACTGTAATTTTATGTCGGCCACGAATAGCCGAAATGTTCATCGTAATCTTACACATGAAGATGGTGCTTATATCTTTTGAGTCTGTAGTTCCTTCGATGGCATCCATAGAAAGATGCAAAGACTTATAAGGTGACCGAACGTTATTACAATATAATTATATTTGTTATTACAAAAATAAAGAGGGATGTACTCACATGTCAAGAAGCAAAGTGCTATGCGCAGTACATACTCCCAGAGTTTCAAATGCTTGCAGCCTCTTGCTTGTAACTTTGGCTTAAGGTACTGGTTCCACAAGATATCCACTGGCACATAGCATTGCAGCGCGTAACTGATGAATATAGCGATTACGTACGCCACTAACGCGACCTTCGTTGCTCTGTCAAAAAAGTTTTTATTACCTATTGTCATTGGTTTGGAAGGCTGTGGCAGACGGTAAAAACATTGTTTTTGGAATTCTCTTTGCTATTTACTGCCTGAAACGACTGCGGTGTACCGCAATAAAATAAAAATGACACAAGATCCGCGTACCTTTCGACAATACGATGAAGTTATTGACGCTACTGTGAGGCGACGGAACATGATGACATAGATAGACAGTTCCAGTATTGACCCACAGCTGTAGAATTTTATAATCCTGTGTAATGTGCCCTCAGTGGGAGCATGATTGGGTTCTTTACAATTGCAAGCAATTAATTGCCTCGTGTGTATCATAATTGTAGTTTACAAGTCAAATGAAGCAAAGTCCAATCGATTGATGTAGCAAGCCTGGGGGTCACGAGGGCATCGCGAGAGCGAATCGTTTCACACCAGTGGCAACAGTTTATTAATAGAGCCCCGCTTCAGAACGTTGTATGTGTGACAAATGCGCTTACGAAACAGTTTCGTTACACTATTAACAAGTGACTCTTACTTGTGGTCATGAGGAAGGTCAAGCGTAATGGAATCGTGGCAGTCCTGGCCGCAGTATACGTATCCCAGTGCGCCTAGTAGAAAGTAGATGGCCGTGACGGAACACATGCCGATGTTGAGAACGCCGAATGGTTTACCAAACGCTTTCGGTGTTTTCATATTGTTTTCCAATGCAATAACCTGAAAATTATAAATCACTTACTGAGCATTGTTGAACCTTCCACATATTTTAGTAGCAGTAGAGATCCTTGTTAAAGAATTCGTCCAGGGCAGTATTGCCATCTTACCTATTTCTGCCACCAACCAGTAATGTCAGCATTACTGGTTCCGCTTTTGAAGGGTAAGGGTGCTGGTGAAATTACAGGCACATGGGATTTGTCAACTTATGTCTCAGGGTGACGGGTGCAGTGGCAGTGCCCCACAGATCTTTGCAATTTAAAGCTATAAGTGGCCCTGTAACTGTTAGGGACAGGTTTTAGTTTCATGTTACAAAGGACGACATAGTGAATTTGTAATAAAAAAAAAATTCACTTACCACACCAACAGCCGTAAGGGCAAATAAGACAGTACCAAAAAATAGAGGGAACGTGCTTATTGAACCCCAGTAATCCAGCGGTTTAGTCGTCTTTGTACCAGCTACGAGGTAATAAAGTACTATCCCAAGGCCAATAAATGTCAAGATGTTCGCCACGACCGAGAATGGCGCTAAGGCTTTGAGATTTGGTATGCAGTTGATCGCAATCAATGGACCCAGAATAATCACCATATGGATTGGGAATGACAACACGTAGTACGGATCGATTAGCTGGAAAAAGAAACCATATGTTGTATTTTTATAAAAAGGCATTTCTACGAAAACTGGTTTTGTTGCTTTGTTTTTCCAAAAATGGTTTTCTTAATTTCATTTCCAAGATAAATAATTATTGTAGTTAGTTGAGGCAATGTACAAAAAAATTCTGTAACTCTGATTCCGAATTTTCATATCAAAAATTATATTATGTAGAGCATTGCATAGAAAACCATAGCAGTAACAAGTAATGGAACAAACAAGGCAATGACGTTGTCGTCGCCCTCGAGATCACGCTCTTGTGTCGCGTGAGCGATCAATGATGATTGAAATTGATGTACTGAAAAGTGGTACATTAACTAAACATAGCAGTTGATTATTAATCAACAACACCAAAAATAATTTAAGTACATTGAGAAAACTGACCATTTTATTGTTCTTGGCGATGAACAGAAAGTACACACAACCGATACCGAGCTGGTACACGACAAGAAAGACGTCAGTCATGATTGCGGCGCCACGTGATAGCCCCCTTAGCGGTTTGGGACCAATCTTGCATGCCACAACCATGGATTCTGAATATGTGAGCAGCGGAACTCTCTTGCGTTTGCACAAAATATATTGTGACTTAACCTGGAAACAAAACAATTGATTCAAGTTTTGTCTTATAACTTGTCAAGTCTAATTCCATGTGTAGGTAGAAATAAAAATAAGTTCTGTGACTGTGTAAATAATTATGTTTACAGTTATTGCATTTAAATTTAGCATGCTAAGAACTGGTTGTAATATCCGATTTAGTACATAAAACATTTGAGCTTTATAGTAAGCAGAAGAGACGAGCTTAAAAGAAGATACTGACCAACACGTGAAGACAGTGTGTGATAATGACACCAATGATGAGTGTGGCGATCGCTCCAGTGATGAGACCAGAGTTTACAAAGGCCTGGGGCATCGCCAGGATGCCAGTGCCTATACTGCATTTAAGCAGATGCACTAAGGTCTCAAAGTTACTGCAAAATTAAAGCAAACGCTTGTTTTATTGTCACTTAGACCGCAAAATCGGAACGGCGGCGGCACGTGCAGCGGAGCGTTCAAAGTTTGCGCGTACATCGTGTCTTGTGTTGGATGTATCCAACATAAAACACACGTTTGCGCGCTATGTACGCGCCAACCTTGAATGCCACCCTGTTCGTACCACCGTTCCGAATTCGGGGCCTTACATTATTATATATTCTGAAATTAAAAGAGTACAGCTAACATTAGCAGAATCGGAAATTAAAGATAAACTTGATATCTGATGTAATCAACCATTATATTTAGTGCTTTACTGTTAGATAAAGCCCCAACTTGTAATTGCTACCATTCCTTTCCTGTACGTCTGGCGCACTCTGGGCCGCAATCAGCGATGGTAAATCCTTTAGCCAAGATGGCAAGCATTATAATGCATGCCATCGATACGATAAGAAGAAACTTGTCATAACTTACTTTGTGGGCGATTTTGTCTGCCGATGCTCATGTGGATCATAATTGTCATCGGGTTCACTTTCACTGAAAATGATTGAAAACTTCATTTGCATTTGCAATTCTCTTTGTAACAAATCAAAGGTTCTTATAGAGTATAATTCATGTGTGCGTACCTAATGACAGTTTCTTCCTCCTTTTTGTCCGCCTCCATTGTAAAAAAACCTGAATGTAAAATAATGGTTATATTATTATTTTTTCATTGCCAGGCATCTTACGTTTAAGTAACCCCGAAGTTCATCACTGAACTACAGGTTACACTCATTGAATATAGTCACAATGACTTTGTTCCCAATTATTCTGCGCTTGCAATGTCCTCTAGTAATTGCTGATGTGGAGAAGTCTAGTTACGTGCAACGTGGTTTTAGTAGCCGGAGAGGAAATAACATATCGAGCCGAATCGGAGGACCCTATTATTAGAGTTATTTATGTCGCTTCGACACACGAGATTGTGATTTAGAATGATTATATTTCTTTCTAGTGTTATTACTTTATCGATGCAATCGATGATTCTTCATGTTAAGTGAGGGTAGACACTTTTTCCATCCTTTAAGGTAGACACGCGTTTTTTTTACTCAATATTTCAATTTCGGTAGAATTCGTCTTTTTTACGAGTTCACTATTTGTAAGTATTTGAAGGCTGGCATTTTAAGTAGGTATTTACCAAGATTGTACAATTTTATTATTCTTATGTCACAAACGTCGTGCTTCAATGAATTAGTAGTATTGCCAGGTGAGTACAACCGTACAACTGAAACACATTCTCAGTGGTAATTCATTATTTATTCACATTTAGCTTGGACCACTGGATTTTCCACCCTTCAAGACATTTTTGGTCATTTAATGATGGCGGTTATTTTTTTCCCTTCGTTCCGTTTGGAATAGGCGAAGGGCAGAGACCATACTGTCTAGTCATTATTTCCTTAATGGTGGTCACTAGCCTAGGGCTAGTGTCAGTTTCGAGGAATGCGGTCAGCTAACGTTGATCAACAGATGGTGCATTGCAGGATGATAAATGATGGCGGTTGAGAATGTCCATAGAGGAAGGCAAAAAATAGAATGTCACTGTGATGTCATAATTTATATCTTTTTTGTTGTTTCCTTTTTTTCCATCCTCTAAGATTGTTTCTCCAAAAAGTCTAGACTAGGGTCAAAATTTCCATCCTCGAAGGTCAAAAACCATACTACCTTAAAAATTTATACGGAAGACTAGAGCTAGAAACTCAACTAGAGATGTGTAGTGTGTTGTGTAGTTACGGTACAATATCCCAAACTAAATATTCATGGCCTTTTTTTTTCCCCCGCTGCACTGATGGGGTCGTTTTTTTTTCCTTACGATTCTCCGCCAACATAGTACATTGCTACGCAGTAGGCATTTGTCGAAAAAAGTTTCACAAATTTCCACTAAGGTTATTGTTAAGATATTAAATAGGAATGAAATATGATATTATATATTACTTAGCGATTTATAGAACTTAGTTTTATTATGAGTAAGTACTACGTTAGTGGGGATTGTGGAATATACCTAACATGCGTACTCAATAAAAAAAAATACAAAAAAATCTTCCAATTTGCTAGGTGCCGGGCCATAAAACTCAAAACATTTTTTGAAACGAAACGCAAATAAAATTTTATTGTGTTGACATTTCAACTCTAAGCGAAAATTATTCTGGCGTCGCCTGGGGTATTTTGTCGTCAAGAGAAGCCAGAAACTTACAAATAGAATAGAAAGTCGTCCTGTGGCATTGCAAAGCAATTACAGTGTAGCCCAAATAACTTGTAGGCTTTTTATTGACGCATGATCTTGTAGTATAGGGATTATTAGACATTCCATTTTAAAACAGCTGATTCGTTGTTTAAGATAATTATGATAAATTGTTTGTGTTGTTTAAAGATCTAGTCGCTCTAAGGAATCTGGTCCCAAAAGAATTATGTTCGCTATTTGTTTCTGCAAACTGCTACGAAATGTCCTTTCTGGAGAGCTTTTATGACCTGCGCGCCTTGACTAGTGTTTGGAACTGCGCTTAGTATCCAAGTGTTGTTTGTTTGTGTTTTAATGTATATTTTGTCATCTTCGTCAATATGTGAAACTGGTTTAATGTGTTGGTTATAATATAATGTTGATTTCTGTTTGTTTGACAATTAAATGCCTTTCTACCAACAACTTCAGGTACGCGTAGGTGTTTAATAAGTACCTAGCAGTTGAGGACCTTGTGAAAAAGTTCGCCCAAGGAAGTAGTGCCACCTAACCTATTCTGGCACAAAGCAATAATGTGAGCATTATTGTGCTCCAGTTTTGAAGGTGACAGTGTTGGTGAATAGGTACATGAAACTCGCAACTTATGTTTTAGGGTGACGGGCGCAGTGGCTGTGCCCTTAAATCTTTGCAGATAGGCATATGGATAGGCGAGTCACTCACCACCAGCACAATTTGTTTGTCCTATCTGTCCATCATATTATAAAAAAAAATGTGTTTGTGGTGGGTGGCTTAGTTTGCAGGTAGATACATAATGTGAATGTGATAACCCTGTGGTTTTTGGTGTTTTAAACTCTAATGCAAAGAGAGAGAAGTTAAGTTTGAAGTCTTTGCCTATGTATGATGGACAGGATTCAAACCTATTTTTTATCTGGAAGCTAATTAATTAATCAGGATGGCTCTTAGTCATGCTTGATGAACATCTGCTAAGCTGTTTGTAGTGTGTAGGCGTCTCAAACATAATATAATGAATGTTCTTTTTCTTCCATGTTACCAATCAACTTGAAAATCAACGTGAAATTGTATATAATATGGTAACCTTTGATCTGATACTGCAACCAGAACGGTCTGCAGACTACCCAACTCCTCAACCACATAGAAGTGTAATTTGGGTTCATTGAAGTATTGATGAGTGGCTTCCAAGTAGGCAGACGCTAGCATCTGTTGGTGGACCAGCATGGTGAACACAGGAATTAACTTTTATTAAGGTAGATCCACCGAGTTTCTACTCGTAGCATTGGTCTCAACAAGTTGTAGGTAGATGGATGTTCACTTTATCGAGTTCGCTGATTTGTATTGGGGGTCATTTAACTTATTATGATTATTTTTACCCCTTGTATACCCGTCTTAATAAAATTATTGAACTCATTCATATTAAAAAGTGGTATATTACTAGTATTCAGTGTCAACAATGTTTTGCAAAAATTGGTTTCAAATGTGTAATGACTGTTTTAAATATCAAGTATACACTGATGAATATTTTTTACTGCCGAAATCTATAAAACAAATAGCACTTTAGGCAGTTTATATTCATGATGTAATGTAATGGTTCTTTGATATTACTCTGGCAGTATATGATGCACATGGGACAAATTAGTGAAAACGGATGTACATATAGAGCTAATATTTTGAGTAAAAGGGTTGTAACTATTTATGTCCTGATGGTCCACAACAGTGAGTTTGACAATATATTCTTAATCAATGAAATCTGATAAGTTTGTTTTCAATGTGTAGTGATTAGAAAAACCTAAGAACTCAAAATGTATTTTATAATTGACTTGTAAAGAATATTATTTCTAATATGAGTAAGGTTGAATGGATTGACTTACTGGCAGAAACTCAAGACCTAAATCGAAGTTGGATGTTTTTTGACTAGTTTTACTGGACGGAGTAACAAACTAGACACTTAGTATTGTATGTAGGTTTAAGTCTGGTTGTGTGTTGGTTAGTACATTTACAATACGCTGCTTATGACAGTGTATCTGTAACAAAGAATGTGTTGTAAGTGGCTTATGATCTGCCTCTACCCAGATCTCTTTTCTATATAATTATACAACTGATTTTTTGTCGACCAAGTTGTCTAGTTGTTTACACTGTGGTCTCAGGATGATGAGATCACCAGTTCTTTTCCCAGTAAGACTAATTTGGGAAATGAAGTTTTTTGAATTGGTTATGTTCTGGTTGTTCTAGGTGGTGCACCAGAGTTAATTCCATTGCTTTGATATACATAGCTCAGGGAATTCCTTTTGAGACCAGGTAAATGGTGTGATGAAATTATTTACAAAAAGAAATAGTATATTTTGTTGTAAAGTGATTGTTTCCTTCAAGGAAACGTAAACAGCGCACTTTCTGGCTGAACTCTCTTTGTAATCATTGTTTTTTTTGTGTGTGCGTTATTTTTTTTCTTCATATGTTTATGTATGTGTTGTATATATTTTTGTGTATGTATATTGATGTTATTTATTGTTGTGCGTTATATAATCTATTTATTTATATTAATTATGTAACCATGATTTTTAATTGTTTTTTTATTTATGTAATTTATTATGTTTCTCTCTCAATTTCTCTTGCACGCTCTTGCCCGCTTATAACCTTTGTTCTGAGTGCCTCGAGTTGGCTGGAAGAGATCTCTCTAAGAGATATCACCTGTGCTCACTTTCTGTTCAATTAATATTTCTGTTGTATTTATTTGGTGCGATAAAGAATATATTTTGATGGGGCTGATACATATGCATAGGGTGTTTTTCGAAAAGTGAAGCATGCTTTAGATGCAGTCTTCTATTATCATGGTGCATGTACTGACAATAATTTAGGATCATAACAAATTAATGTTGGGGCTGATCATATTGGACTATTTATTGTTTTACTCTAGCTCATGTTTATCTGTTCATAGCTTTTAATTTTGTGGAAATAAGAGTTGCTTCAGCATAGAACTTTCTTGTGACAAACTGAGAATAATTACCTTCTTAAATTGATTAGTCCCGTTAGTCTTTAGGACTTTGAGTTGTAAGTGGGACTTCGCATATTGGCAATAGCTTCTACTCTAGCTGTAACATGTAAATTGTGCAAACAGTGGACTTTTTTTGTTAAATTTATTTATAAAATGCGCTTTTGAAATCAAATGGCAGGTTTTTGAACTGGTGACGATTACATGTCGTATTGATATTTGTAAGCTTGGATGAAGTTTCTGAGATATTATTGGCATTAGCAAGGTCATGACTTTACTGTGTTTAGTGTGAGAAACCTTGAATGAGGTCTCATTATTGAGATTACACATGTCTGTACTCAACTTTAGTTGGCCATTTTTCTTATATCTGCATGCACACTTTTGGTTAGATTGAGGTTCCGGCATGATTTATGTAATGAACTGTAATATAAGTACTTGCTTTGTGGTACCTACTCACAATGTACGGACAACGGCACTTCAGACTACACATTTTTGTTCGAAGATGTGTAGCTGGATGTGGTGGCGTGTGTGTACATTTGCCTGATTGGGATAATTTCACCGCTGAGGGTTGACTATGCATCTTGGTACAGAATATTTGACACAATGCGCATGTCTAAATGAAATGAATAGATTTACCGTTAATTAAACGGTCAGCTTTCCTTGTTTGATCCCTAACGATGCTGTTAATGAACACCGACCACAAGAAAAGATCATTGTCAGAACCAGGTGTGGCAAATGTTTCATTGGTGTTTTGAACTACGCTTATTGTTCTACTCTTAGGGTCGTATTCTAGAACTCTACTCAATGCCCAAGTCAGCATTGCACTGGAAATACGACGCTAATGGCAGGGATTTGAGTATGATTTCGAGTGCTTGATCTATAGGGAAATGTTTCCACTTGCAACTAGAAGCCAGAAGGGCTTTGAGTGCAGTTTGTATAGTGACATTTATTTGTGGTAGGACGTTTGTCTAATTTGCCGATAAGGTTGAAAGAATAGAATGTTGTAATAGCATATTCCCTGAGAATGTGACAAGTAGCGACGCTTCGCTTGTTGTCTTCATTTTCAATGTTCTAACTCGTACGTTGGCACGTGAATATATTTTAAAATTTGTAAGTTGTTATCCACGCCAATGGCATATTTAAACTTCTCATGTTCACTTGTTGAAGTTATATTCTCATGTTCGCTGGCTTCGTCCTCGGTCATTTTGAGCCACGATCATATTTTGGTTTATTATAAGAGAATGGGAGTAGATTTGTTTTCGCGGCCGGAAGGAAGGTGGTGTTCGTATAGGAACACACTGTCTAAGGTAAACTTACTCTTTTGATACACGTTTTAATTGTCGCCGGGAATGTCATAGACATATTAAAACTTATGTTTCCGATAAAAGATCAGAGCTATGAACTCAACTAGAGGCTGTGTGTGACAACATCACTTCGTTTATTTGAATAATTGGGCGTAGGAAGAGCGTGCAATGCGCACATTTGAAAGAGAATTTTCGACAAAATCAGACCGTTAACACGTGTTATTAGAATTATTGATATTTGTGTTAAAAGTTTCCGATAAACGATTTTGCAAAATTGATGAAAATTATTGAGCAAAATTCTATTATTCTGTCAAATTTATCTGTCGACCGTAACTCGTAACGTCTGAGTAACCTCTCACTCGATAATCTAACCATATTGAAACGTGATTCAACAAAACAACTACAATGAAGAACTACACACATTACATTAATTAGGGAAGTTGCAAATTGAAAAACTGCACTGCGGAGATGTAAATAACGTGGCATATTTCTTGTAAACGAAAATATGTTATGTAGGCCCGCGTTGGTTTACAGACGAAGATGCTAAAAGGAGTTATTTATAAATAGAAATATTTACTTACGAGTATATGTAGACGGGACCGGGAGACGTTCGGACTAGAGGGAACCGCGCGCGTGATTGTGGAGACGAGACAGTGTTCGCTCTGGAAGCCCCCCGCGCGTCCCACGCCTATTACATCAATCAACAGAAGCTGTAATATGGATATTCCGGACACAAGACATTGTTGGTAGAAAACTGACTGTTGTCCATTAGCGTCTTCCGGTGACTTTTTTTTTTAGAAATGCTTACGTTACCCATATTTCTAAAAGCAAGTTAATGTAATAATTCGCACATGACAACATAGTATTATCTCAAAATTGCTTTAAGTTATATTAATATTACCTATTTAGTGTCAAAGCGATAGTGTTGTCCTGTAACTTTGAAATCAAATCATATACGAATGACATACAAGTACAGTGAAATTTTGGAGATAAATTATTAATATGACGCAATTTTGAGACAAAATATAATATAACGAAATTTTTGTGGTAATACTATGTTAGTTGTCAAGTGCGATTTGTACTCTCCAGAAGTCTTTTTGTTTTTTAGCGAATTTTGGGGTCGTTAAACGTATACTGTTAGGTGAAGTTATGAAAACTTTGTATATAAACAAATTTGTTAAATTGTAACAACTGATAACATGGCCGGATACAAAATGATCATCGTCATACAGATGCCGCTTATAACCTCAACGCTTGTAACATTGTTCGCATTATTTCGATCATTCAAACGCGAACATTTCTAAATATAGTACCGCACTTCCGGCTGCGCTATATCAGTAAGACTTTATATTTTGGCCGGTTTACCTGACGCTTGACTTAACCACCCGGCTTTTTGGTTCTCAGTGTAAATATTTCAGATTAGAAAGTGAAAATTTCTATGAAAATATTAATTGTTAAGTGTAGGTTTTATTTAAACTGCAAACAGACGCATTGAACAAAGGATTACCTAATGTTACGTTACGTGAGCGTAACCTACCTTCAATTGCTTTTCAATCCTTACCTAACCACAGAGAGACGCCTTGATATCACATAAATAGACACAAAATGGTTCACAGAGTGAAGAGGTAGATTGGTTAAGGGTTATGTAAACAAGTATAGGAGTGGGTATTAGGCAAGGCACGGACGGGTGATACGGACGGTTGAAGCACCCTTACTGAACACGTCATCGCGTTGGGCAGGCTCTGCTTTCTACTACGCCTGCGCGACTTCTTGTAATACCGGACGAAAATACTCCTATCGACCCAGGTCCGGCGACAGGACTGTTGAGGCCCGTTTAATTCCCTTGTGCGCGCTACCCCTTCTTTTATGATATAGGTATTTCAAATCAATAACTTTGCGTACCTAATATTGAGTCCACTCCAATTCTTTCTGCATAATTTTAAAACACGAGTTTTTTAAGTGGGCATCGTTGAGACGTGAGGCGTGTTGTGTATTACTGGCGTTGCAGAGCCAAGGATACGGCACAGTACAGCTGGACTGTCTTGTTCCCTGTCGCCGGTTCTGTGTCACATTTTCTTCTATATTTCTATGGTTCTTTGGCTCTTAAAATTATTATAAACCTGTTTAAAAATATGTACCTACCTGTCGAAGTTCTTGCTCAATGTAGACGTCGATTTGCGGAATGTTGATGTAAGTAACAAAGTTCTTGGCAGCAGCTGGCTGTAGAACAACCGACAATTAGCCTAAACGTGTTTCGTGGTTGTCTTCAACCAGACTGAGGCTGCCCTTAATGCATGCCCGTAATCACTGATACGTAAATCAAATATGCGAGTGGAGAAAGCAAACTATAGGTAAGTTAGGAATGTAAAAAACTGCCTAGTCCATTGGGATACAGATGTAACTAACTATACGCATTACAGTTCATTGTTTGGTCTTACTATAATAGTGATCGATCACAAACTTGATTTAATTACTCTAGAACACGTGGCCGTTATTAACACTGATGAGAACCTAGTCTGAGATGAGGTGTTTAGAGTAGCTGTTCAACAGGGCGTTATACATTTTAAAGAGTATTGTGATTCGAGTTACACCAGTTATATAAATAGCTATTGATAGATAATTACCCCGCTTAACCTTAATGGGAAAATAAGATAATTCTCTGTTAAACGATTTTATATCTCAAGATAAAAGAGAATTCATTATCATCGTTCATTACCATTTATACGTCTTACTGCTGGGCACGGGTCTCCCCTTAGGAGAGGGTTTAGGCCACAGTTCGCCACACCTTTTTTTGACAGGTGTAAATCTTTATAGATACCTCCGGGTTTACCATCAGGTGGAGTGGAGTCATTTGCCTGTCAGGTATAAAAAAAAAAAATAAAAAAAAATAAAAAAAAATAAAAAAAAAAAACCTCTCGCCGGTTGAGTCGGCGCCGTGGGGTCGGTAAACATTCACCACTACGCCGCCCGGCCGCCCTAGCTTGCGCCAGGGCTTCCGCGCCAAAGGAGGGGCAAGTCAGTTGTCCTCCGATCCGCCCGCCCAGACGAGTGAGGCCGTGCAATGCAGGCTCCGGAGTGTCTGTCCAGACCCCCTGGCCTCACCAGGGGATCAGGCGAGCAGCGAACTGCGTTCGCCTTCTTCCCGTACGTCTGCGCCGAAGCGGGTGCGCGTCCGCCTCGTCCTCGCGCACCCGCTCTGCGGCCTCCTTTTGCGACATAACCTCTCCGCAAAAGAAGGCCACCGCCTCCCCGGACTCCTCGCTACGAGAGGTCCTGCCCTATTGTCCCCGTCAGAGTACGGCGCTGGTCATCCCACCGGCTGCACACCTCTAGGGTGTGCTGCGCGGTGTCATCCGCAGCATGCACTCGCCACTTTGTGCAGGTAGTGGCCGAACCAGCCGTGGCCGGTCAGCACCTACCTGCACAAGGTGGTACGACTGTGGCCCGTGGGACTGGCTCACCCACTCTACGAGGATAGGACGGATCGCCCCTATGGTACGAGCTCTCCATAGGGGGGATCCGCCAAGCTATCTTTCCACCGGTCCCGCATGTGCTGCGCCGCGACGCGGCGCTGCCGCTCGACATTCCGCTACCCTGGCCAAATGCCGGTTAGAGATTGAACACGTTTTCCGAGGGTTGTGAACCTTCGATGTGCAAGTTTCATCACGATGTTTTCCTTCACCGAAAGGTGCAAATTTCGCATACAAATCCCGATAAACTGAGAGGTATTGGTGTGAACCCGGATTCGAACCCACGGCCTCTATTTGTGAGGCGGTAGGCCAAACCATTAGTCTCGCACGGGTTTTTTAGAAGAGAACTCATTTTACGAAATAAAGAGAAAACCTTATACGCCGCAAGATGGATCACAGTGATTTAAAATGCATTTTTCTAACGCTTTTATACGTTTGCATAACATAATATGAATTTAAAGATTTTTAAAAGATTAAGTCCCATCTTTTGCTAAGCTTCACTGATGGCAGCAGTAGTACTTTTAATAAGCAAAAATCACGTTTTCTATTAGTGCCGAAGCAGTGCTCGACAAAGAGTGATAGATACTCTTCATTTGTCTGTCAGACAGGCAGTGCGGGAGTTTAGAGCAGAGTATTTGTTTCTCTATGTATAAGTACTTATCGATAGGGACTATTCTGATACACCTCTGTTCTTAGCATCTAATCAATTTGGAATATTGAATAAGTGATTAGATAATTATCCATGCGGATTCTTAGCATGGTTTTCTATTTTTGGACAAAGATTTTAAATACTGAGAATGGCCTTTGACGCGTTTGGTAAGTCTCGAAACGACAAATCGTGTTCGGATGTATACTTGTAAAACATTGCTAGCGGTGGCGTTTAATTTTTCCAATTAATTAAATTTTTATTGAATTGATATTCAATTATTTTTGTGAAATTACTCCACTAGTTTGTTATAATTATTCATACAAAGATCGAACACTTCATGGCATCGAGACAAACCCAAGTAGGGTTTAACGGTGTTTTACATTATTTACGGATACTTTTTTCTTAAAACAATAAAATAAATAAAAAAATAAAATAAAATAACTTCGAAAAAATTCATTCGATCCGGTCGGATTCCAAACGACGGCGACGTCTCTTAGCATACCGTGTCAGACGTTAAGCCAACTAAGCCACGGAACGAACCAGCGGACCTCACGAATTTTTCTATGTGCTTGTTGTCGGATCTTTGTATCTGGTTTTCAACGACTTCTTTAGCCGTAGCACCATCTGTGAGAAATCTTTGAAAGTATTTCGTCACCCAGTTAGGCACCTTTACAGCTACCAGCCCTGGCTAGAGATGCCGCTATTAATTCTTAATAAATTTTTATTGAATTGATATTCAACTATTTTTTGTTAAATTACTCCACTAGTTCGTTAGAATTAATAATAATAATAATAATAATTCTTTATTTCGGACCATAAAATATCCATAGTATATTGTAAAAGAACTTATATCAAGGTTAGTAATAATCTGTGCAACTTAATCATTTTCCCGCTATAGCATTTAGAATGCTCTTAGTACTGAGCCTCACGCGACTACGACGACTACAAATAAAAATGTTCAGCTTAAGAAAAAGCTTAAAGCTAAAATTGCATGTTTACAAATAAAACAAATCTAAATATTTATTAAAACTATGTCATTGGTTTTTTATGCGTTTGTGCACCAATGATATGGTTTTAGTAGGTCACTATATGATCAGAACAGTTTCTGAAATTGTATTTTGTTTTCAAATATCAACAATAATTGATTTGGCATTTTTTTTTCACATTTTTTTTTGCCCTCACTATTCACCAATACGTAGGTATATACTCAGAGGCCGAATTACTGTTTTTAAATTTGTCATTCATAGACGTAATCGATATTGACACAACACTAGCGCAGTCACGATCGGCGATTGAAATCTATATTTTTGTTACGGTGCTATTCTGGCGTTCCAGCAACTGAAAGGTCCCTCACCGAAACTAGGCGCTCGCAAGTATGCCTTGCCCGAGGCAGCCATACGCTCCAACCTCCGTGCCTCTCGCGGGGACTACTTTCCATAACGGTTTTGACGGCATCTATCGGTTTTTACGTATCAAAAGTGTTCACGAACACACATAATACTTTCCTTGCTACGATCCCGCAACACTTTATCTTCGTACATCATCAACCCATTTATACGTCCCACTGCTCGGCACGGGTAACCGTTAGTTGTGTAATGCGTTTGATGATACATTTGATTGCAAAAGAGACTGACTTAAGCGACCAACTAAAGATTATTCGCATTTGAAAAGTGTCGTAACCCAAAACTCCACGTGGCATTGAGAAATCATGATTTGAAAATTTTTAAAAATACTGAAAGGGTCTTATTGCGAATAATGTGATTATTTTTATTTGTACATTACTCTTATATTTAATTAATCATTTATAAACGACAGTGTCTATTTATTGGTTTCATTCAGCAATTTTTTGATCTTTCAAATTGTGTTTTCTCAGTTTCACAAATTTGAATTACGACATGTGCGTATATTTGCAGGCCCTCTTTTGTTAAGACATAGACATATGCACTATGATGTAACGTAATGACATTGTAAGTGTACTTTTGAATACTAAAAAGGATTCTTGTAGTGCGTTTTTGTATTTACGTAAGTATCGTTTGTTAACCATCGATTTGCATACAGAGGCCATCATTTTTCCACTATTCAACAATATTTGTCCGTTAAATTGAAAGTGACTATCTGTGGTCTCTCTGCAGCATTTGACACCACC